AACCAATTTTCAATGTTACAAATATACCTATCTGATTAATTTACAATACAGATTACAATATTGATGGTTGATACTGTTACATTATTATAATTTTAAATTTTTTTAATTTTTTTTAATTTTAAATAAGGCTGACATCTGTCAATTTTAGACAACTACCATAAGTTACACTGACTGCTCTGACACAACATCCGTCCTAACTTGTCATCAATGTCATTATAATCAGTTGTTATCAACAGGTCCTCGTAGGCACTTCGTCTCAGGACCATTTTACTCATGTAGAGTCATACGCCGCCATGTTACCTATCCAACGGTAACTTAACCATCACAAACTATAAAAACTAATAATGTAAAATAATGTTAAATTTATAACTTTTAAGGGGTTTTTACCCATATATTTTGGTGGCTACTAGCATGTACAACCGTAAGTATTAACCACATTTTGCTCTAACCTTTGTCAACATTTTCATTTAACATTCTTTTTAATTAAAGTGGTTATATACTTTCAGGTTTGCACTGATGATGGATTGTTTAATCCGAAAACGTTTTGCAATGTGTTTGTGATAGCCCGTTTGAGGCAATTTTATATACCTTTTATAAAGGATTTTAACAAAATTTTTTTAGTAGTAAAAACTCATTTTACATTTTTTCAATAGACGGGTAGTCTTTTTATGGTATTTCCGAAGAAAATTTTACATCTTTTTCTTGAGTGGTATTGCTGTAGTTCCATCTGATCTTTTATCTCTTAATATTCCGGCTTAGTCCACCTTTCCTAAATACCCATTTCTCAGTTTCTTACGATCGAAACGGACTATTTAATATCAGGAATCTTAATCAGAATGATTTTTCTTCTGCCTTCCGGGTTTGAGAATATCAAGGGTCACTTTTACACATATAAAAAAACTTTATACTTAATACCTACGCCCCCTGATTAAGTTCAGAGCAAGTATCTGCTCTTTATTATTATTTATTTAGATCTACAAAATCACAAAGAGTGACAAATTTGAAAAGAAAAATTCTGCGGTAATAAATTATAAATGTTATGACTTTTTCTCAGAGGAAATCAATCACGTTTCATCCCGACCATTTATGAAAGACTATTCACTCTAAATCTATTTGTCAATGCTCAAAACATCGTAAAAGCTAACTGCTCATCCTTCAAAAATGTCATCAAATTGGTGACCTATTCCAGTAACCAAATCCCTCATATATGTATATATTCTGGAGGTAACTTCACTATTTTAGCGCAGTTAAAGAGATAAAAGCTTTTTGCACACACTGACAGTTGGATTCGATTTTTCCCTACCATACGCGAAAAAGTACTCGTATTTTTACCTTGCGTTTTTTAATCATTTTTTTATATCAAGAATATCTTTATTTTTCCGTTTTTTAAATCAAAATTGATAAATAATTTACGGAGATATTTGCAAAAAGCAGTTTTTTTGCAATCATTTATAAATTTTATTAATTTTTTATTAACAAAATAAAATGTTATTAAATTTGAACATCGAGGAATTACCGTATTTTAAATTTGTGCGAAATTTCCCACCGATCGGTCAAATAATTTAAAATTTATTTAATTTATTTATCCCTGAGGCTAAATATTTAAACTATTGAACTTGCTCTATTAATAATGCTAGACACATTTAGCAAATTTCATAGGATTATTCAAGACTTAAACTCACTCAAAAATTAAATGTGTAATATGTTATAAAATTATAATATTATATGTGTAAAATTAAATTGTAATAAATTCTATATTTTTCAAGCTACAGACTTTTACATACAACCATTGGATAGCTGGTAAAAAACTTAAAAAACTTAAAAAAACATAAAAAAAACTTCTATGACCAATAGGAACGAAGTTAGGGACTGTTTCGACGAAATTTTGGAGCGTGGCAGCTGCTACTCATCCTGCCTTTTTTACGCATACTAAAATATATTACCGGTTTTCTATTATATAGATGACATTTCTTCTACTTTTTCATCTATTCGTCATCTAGTAATCTATATCTTAAAAACTTCAGATATCTGCGAAAAATTGTTCCAGTTTTTTTTTAACTAGACTGGGCTATAAATAGATATGTTGGTATAGGGTTACTGTCTCGCTTGTTTTCAAGAGTTCGGCAATTATACCGTCGGGTCCTGAAGCTTCATTATTTTTTAGCTTTTAAAAATTTTCTTATTAATTCTGCATAATTTACGCCCGTCCAATTGAGTATATTTCGGATTCAAGAGAATTTTTTTCTCACGACTCCCAATTTTCCTTAAATTTTGTCTGTTATTGCAAGTTAGGGGAGGAAATATTTCAGATTTCTTAATAGGTAATCCAGGTACGGTGTTTCGCGACTTCGATTGAGTGGAGTAGCTCTCTATTCTTCGCTACACACTGTATAAGACTGTTTTAAACATCTAAATACATTCTTACTACATAATGGAATACCTTTTACTAAAAAATGCTAAATACTACTTTAGTTCCTTAAAAATAATTTTACTGTCATGTCATGACGTCGATAAATGTAAATTTCCTTTTGTACATAGAATTATTTCCTCGATAAAATTACGGTTATTACATGGCTAGTTAAATTTTTACGGTCTAAATACTGTTTAAAAGCAGGAGGTAAAAGTGTTCCTTATTTCACTTAATTAACGAAATGTTTATGGGTTAATTAAAACCTAAAAAGAATATTGTTCTGAATCCATTGGATAATTCTAAATAAAAATAGTTAATAGTACTAAAAAGAATAGTATTGTTCTGAAGCTATTGATAACGATTTTCGAAGTGGAAATTGAAACGTCAATAAACTTAATTTAACCTTCAATTGTGGCTTATTCACATTAAAATAGTAATTAGTTTAAAAAGAATAGATTGTAAAGTGTACTAAAAAGAATATATCTGAATTATGTTGAATGCCGCAACATTAATGGTTATGATGATTGTTCGAAATATGACCATTTTTTTTACGAACGAAAACTACAACTTTTTATTTGTCATTTTGGGTATGCTGCCGCTTATACACTCACCATCGGCACGAAAAACAGAGCACTTGCCTTTTTTAAATAAAAATTTAAAATTTTAATTCTCTTGTAACGTTATAATATAAATAATTTTTTTTAATTATACATAAAAGAATATATAAAAAGTGTAAAGAACACATGACAAACACACAATTCGGCTTCAGGGATGCATTGGGTACTAAACATAATATGATATGATAGGATAATAAACAATATCTATTACGAACAGACTGTAGCTGTTAGAGTTGGGGATCAGTTAACAGACGATATAAAGATAAAAAGAGGTGTACGACAGGGATGTATATTGTCCCCATTATTGTTCAATACATATTCAGAGCACATTATGAACCTAGCGCTAACGGACATAGACGAGGGAATACTTATAAACGGAGAACGATTGAACAACATAAGATAGGCTGATGATAATGTCATTTTTGCAGACAGTCTTGAAGGTCTGCAGACACTTGTCTCCAGGGTGGCAGACGTAAGTAGCAGGTTTGGGCTTGATTTTAACATCAAAAAAACCAAATACATGGTTATAAGCAAAAATGGGATACCACCTGGCCAATTACTAGTTAACCAACAACCTATATCACAAATCACCAACTTTTGTTATCAGTTACTCAAGATAAATGAAATGCATGCTGAGGCTTCAACTTGTATCAAATAAGAAATGAAGAAATTAACATCAGAAATAAAAAAACACTGAGAATGTGAACATTATGTGGAGTAAAATCAAAGATTCTGTTATAAAAACACAAAAATAAAATCTACAAAAGAAAACAGAAAGTCGAAAACCTTGGATGACTCCAGAAATACTGGAAATCATGAAACAAAGAAGAAAATATAGAAACAAAAACCCAACTAAGTACAGAGAAAAACATAAATTAATAAGGAACAAAATAAAAGAGGTTAAGGAAAAGTGGATGATGGAAACATGCATCGAAGTGGAAGAATTGCAGAAAAAGCACGCTCGTTATAATTTACATAAAAAAGTGAAAGAATTATCTGGAAAATTACGAACAAATGCACCTAACCCATACATTGACAAAAACAATAAACCTCTTAATAACCCAATTATCTTTTCATGGACCCAAAAAGATATTGAGCAAGTGGACAAAATGAAATACTTAGGAGTCTGGATTACGGAAGATCTGAATCCGAAATCAGAAATTCGCTCAAGAATAGAGCAATCAAGAGCAGCCTTTTTGAAGATTAGGAAATTTCTGAGTAATCAAAGACTCAATCTGCAAATCCGATATCGGATGGTAAAATGTTATATCCACTCTATTCTTCTTTATGGTTTCGAAACCTGGACTGTTAATGTTGACTTAATGAGAATGAGAAAACTGGAAGCTTTTGAGATGTGGATTTTTAGGAGAATTTTGAAGATACCATGTACCGATCATATTACGAACGAAATGGTGTTGCACAGAATGAGAAGAGACATAGAACTTTTGACCACCATTAAACGGCGAAAGATAGTATATTTAGGGGCACATACTTAGAAATAATAAGTACGAGTTGTTGCAGCTGATTATGAAGGGTAAAATCGAAGGAAAAAAGGGTCCTGGTAGACGACAAATATCCTGGCTAAAAAACATTCGCGACGGGACCGGGTTAGACGCTCTTAAGAAAAACAGAAGATAGAGACGAATTTGCAATGGTTATAGCCAACCTTCATTAGTGGAGACGGCACTAGAAGAAGAAGAAGTTAACAGTAAACAAATTTTTCCAGCCTCATCTTTAACTCGCACTTTTTATTAGTGTTTTACTTTTTATTCTTAGACGAGTAGATAAGTTTATATTATCGTTTAATATTAATAAAAATATAAAGCATTCTCTAGAGGAGGGCGGCACATAGGTCATTCCACGCGGGCGGACGATTCCCTAGAATCGGCCATGATAATTATTAATAATACAACTGTTTCATTTAGGGAATGTTTCATTAATAAAATATTGTTAATAAAGTCAGATATACTTACATAATTAAGGATTTTCTTGACAATCATGGCCCAAAATATTGAAAAAAACAAACCGAAGATTATAAACGCGGCAGCGACACCAAAAGTTGTCCATTTTTTACAAGATGTCGAACACCGACAGCAGCCCATATTGTAGTACTGAAACAAGCAAGAAGTAATTTTTATTAAAATGTTTTGGTGTTAATGACCGAAGTAAATAATTAGAATATTAAATAAAAACTGTAGTCCAGTCCTCAGAGAGTTGAGGTTGAGTTCAATATAAGTTGAGTTCAATAAAATTTGTATCAGCTCGACGGTAAAAATTCGATACCTTTTGGATATCTTTTGATCCAAGTGTTCTATCAACAAAAATCAATATGCGTTTTAAAGGTTAAGAGTGCAGATTTCCTACGCAGTTTCTGTATTTTGCCGTAAATGACTCAGTTTTTAGAGAGGTGTTAAATAAATAAACGTGACGCGACTTTTGTCATTTTTTACAATTCTCGTGAGATCAATAAAATTGATCACTTTCATTGACCATTCGTAGTATGAATTTCCATTTCTAAAATTTCCATTCAATAAAAAACGCAGAATTTAATGTTTTACATTACAAACGATCGCAAGTCACGGGAAATGTCTCCAAGAAGACGGATTTGTGTGTAGCTTATAGCAAAATTTGGTTCTTTTGAAAAACATACTAGTGTAATTGAAAAAAAAAAAGTTTTAAACGTTGTAGATCGTTTGCTTTGTGAAAGTTTAAATAAAGCGTTTTTTAAAGATATTTTAAATGCCTCACATTTGTTGCCAAAACTCAAAACTAAAAGTTCTTGCTATAAGTTTTGAAGGTTAGGTTACTAGAGACTAACCTAATGTTAGTTTCATGTAAGTGTAATTATCTGGTAGTGTCTATTTGCGTCTTAATTAAATTAATTTCCACAAAAATTTGAAGGCTCAGCACTTTAAGGTCCATTATCGAATCAAAAGCGTAATTAAAAAGAGATCCAATTGGCTGGCCGTTAGAAACTAGTACGGGGAGAGACAGATAAGTTTGACAATGAAAGGTTAGTGGGAAGAGCAGAAGGGCAAAAGTGTAGAGGGCAGAAGAAGCAAGAGAACTAATTGGGGTCTGAACGAAATCTGAACGAAAACACATCCTTTTCGGTTGTAGTTTCAAAAACCGGCAAATTTTCGCTTAATTCAATTAGTTTTGGTTAGAAAGAGGTGATTTAATCTCGAAATGCTATTTGGCAGTCTTTGTAAAGTGAGATAATCACCGGTTTGTTGCTGTATTCCGTGTCAAGGGATCTGATAACAGCATTTCTGAGGGCTAAGTGGCCTACATGGTTTTAAGTGAAAATAAGCAGCCGAGTTTTGAAGAATACATATAGTTATCATCCAGGATTTCCTGAGATCCAGCCATTTTTGGTGTTTGCCAGCCTCCATGGATCGAATTCAGATCGTTGAAATTTATGTGGGAAAGTGTTTTTTGTGTCCAATTCCAAGGAGAGAAAAACCTTTCTAAGTACCAAGAGGATTCTTTTAAACGGCGTCCTATTTTAAATAGTTTAGGAATCTTCTTGTGTGGTGTTGCCCAGAACATCTTTGTAAGTATTTTTTTTGTAGTTAGTCCTCTCCAAATAAAGGAATCCTTATTGACTAAGCTCTCCAACAAAAACACGAGTAGTCGTTCGCAAACGTTTCAATTTACTTGCTTAGCCTATCTCCAAGCCCAGTAATTGTTCAGTTCTCCCTTTCAACCCCCAATAAGCAAATAATCAATTGTTACATAATAAAAGAGGCAAAAAAATTGGGTTTATAATAAATAAGGATAAGGCAAAATACATGATAATGGGAGAAATAAATACAGAAAAAGAAGACAATTTCACATTAGAAATAGATGAAAAAAATATGCATGTTCAAAAGAGTTTGAGTCTTACCTAGCTGTAATAATAGATGAAAAGGTACATAAGGAACGGTAGATAAAGGCAAGAATAGCAAAAACAAACAAAATGAATGGAGGACTACAAGCATTAATAAAATCAAAATATGTTTAAAAAAACACAAATTAGATTTTACAAAACACCAGGCCTACAGCTACATATGTATGCAAAATATGGATGCTAAAGAAATCAGAAATAGACATTTTAGAAAGATGGGAGAGGAAAATATATATGGAGGTGTGAAAATAGATAGTCCATCCAGAAGAAAGAATAAGGAACTTAAGAAATATACAAAAGAGCCAACAATAACAATAGTAATCAAAGCTTAAAGACGATATACGACATACTGAAAGAGTGAGAAAGGAAAGAATGTCGAAAGTAGTACTCTGAAGTCAGTACAAGATATAAAAAAGACTTTTATAAAAGTAATATTGCTAATTGGAAAGAAAAAGCATTGGGCAGAATTAAATGGAAGAAAGTACTTAAATTTAAATGAATTTTGAGAAGGGATATGATGAGATTATATGCATGAAAAAAGAATTGGATTGGAAGAAAAATATTTGATATCTACAAACATTAATAATAATGGTAATCATTTAATCCTTAATCTTTTATTAATGGTTAACACTAGGTACATAACTACTATTTTGACAAAGAGAATAATTGTTATAAAAAACGTGATGTTTTTAAAAGCGTTGCTTCTATTACATGAGAGATTCTATTATGTGTAATAGTTAAGTAAATATTCTAAAATTAACTTACAAAATTCACAAAAAGAAACTGCACGAAAACACTTCACTAAAAAAACCGATATCCTGAACGAAGGGAGATCCGACACAGTAGTGACTGCATGAGTATCTGTCTATGAAATATCTTTGTAGTGAGATATGTATGCAGATGTGAAATAATGATTAATCAGATTAAAGTGCACGTTGACTCTTATCAAATGTTTACTCGTGGTCAACCTCATACATCCATTGTGATTATATGATACTCAAAAACTGAAACTGATGAAGTAAACATTGGTCCGTTTGTTGATAACCAGAACCGACGGAATCTAAAAACAGTTTGGGATGAGATTAGCATGGGATTTATTTTTTATCAGTTATGTATTTAAAACGTGGCTGTTGGGTGCATTCAAATATCAAAAAAAAACCTGTAAATGAAATTAAAATCAAATTATCAATAAATATAAGATAAACAGTTGAATATAAATACAATTTCTATTACGATAAATGCGATGTTCGAATTGAAACAAAAACAATGTAAATATTTTGCAATACTACATAAGTAAATGAACAAATGAACTGAAACTTTAAAAACTAAATGCACTACTAAAACAGAACATGTTTTAGGAAAATAATTGTCGCTTATCTTAATGTATTAATATAAACATTTATTTATATATTTTTTGTTACTCATGAAACATAAATTAGACAAAATTAGCAAATAAATTCTCAAGGATAATAGTACAGGGAAACAAGTTTTTTGTCGGCACACTGACCCAGCCAGGTTGCAAATGGATTTTTGAGTACTATACCTAATATACAGGGTGACAATTGGCAATAGAACGATTTGGAACTAAATAGTACCCAAGAAATTTGCAAGAAAATACTATTTTATTAACATTCAAAATGAAGCTTATATTATACCATTTACAATCTAATTAAGTAAGGAAAATAACGTCATCAAGAGTGATCATCACGTTGGATGCAGTTTTAGATCCTCTTTATTAAATCCTCCATAACAGGCTCTAACATCGCTCGATAAATAGTCAGGATTTCCTGGCGAATGGCGTTCTTCAACCCGATCCAATTTCGAAGCTTGCTAGCATAACGACTCTTTAAATATCCTCATAGAAAAAAATCACAAATTGACAGGTCTGGAGACCTTGGAGGCCACGGCAAATCTCCGAAACGTGAAATGAGTTGTCCTCCATATTCATTGAAGCATAGGCAGTATGTGTCATGGCAGCATCCTGCTGAAAATACACATTCCTTGGGTTTATCCCTTTTCTGCGTAGTTCTGGAACCGAAAATTTTTGGATCATGTCAACGTAGCGAATAGAATTCACGGTGACGGTATGGCCAGCCTCTTCGAAAAAATATGGCCCAATAATGCCAGTCGGACCAATGGCACTTTTAGAGAATGTAAAGGACGCTCATGGGAATTTCGTGGGGTTTCAGGAGACCAGTACCTGTAATTATGTTTATTAAGTGTTCCGTCCAAATGAAAATGAGCTTCGTCGCTCATTAGAAGATGCTGGCTAAAATTATCCTCCAAAAGAACTTGCATTCTCGTAGCGAAATCCTCACATGCAACAGCTTGTCGCCCTGGTGACGCCGATCCCGGAATTTTGTGATTGGTGGAAAGCAAAAATAATTGCGACCAATCCTAATTCTGAGATCTGCTGCTCAATTTCTGTATTATCGTTGGCCGAATACAACAGACTTGTGTCCAATGATAATACTCGAATTGAGTATTTGGTCTTTCGTGCTGGCCAATAACCAACGACCAGGAATGACCGTTGGAAGTTGACCTCATTTTTTTCCTATAAAGAAATGCACGAAATCCGATTCACCAGACTGGGTCAGGATATGTCCGCCAGTCCAGCCTTCTAGGCAAGTCGAGATCCTCAGGTTGATTAAGTTCCTTGAGCCTCTCAAACCAACTTCTGACTTTCATTTCGAACGCACCTTTGGCAAAGTTCTTACCAGAACCCTTGTCGGTTTCCGAGCGGGAACCAGGCGGCCATTTTTGGACATTTATTTGTGCAATTTAGACTTAGTCTAAATTTGCTAATAAAGCGTCCAGAACGTCGTTATCTGAAGGCGTATTTGATCTGTGCTTTCGCCTTAGGCGAATTCTGATAAAATACGTAATTGCAGCCGCGTTTTCTTTGTCTTTATCAAGATCTAAGATTAACGCGGGAAAACTTACAAGTCGTGTAAGAGAATTCCGCTAAGTCCTTTGTGCAAAGGGCTTAGACGCAAATTGCGCGGATATCCTCAAAGGGAGACCGCATAATAAAGAAACCCTTGTGTTTTATTTCTTTACCCTTATTTTTGCACCGTATTTCTCTTTCAGCGATACACTGCAAAAAGCAGGTAAGAAATTTTGGTTTTCTTTATGGTAAATTTACATGCGAATTATACACTGTTATATATTTCATGATAATTTGGTATTGTATGTATTTTCATTGTTTTATTGTTTTATATATGTCTTACAGGTATTTGTGAAGAAATCATAAATATAACATTATTGATTTTTCTCTTTCAGCACTTGACCTTGTCAAACTTGTTTTGC